GGCTGTGCTGGCCCCACAGCAACAGCAACGGCCACTCTGCTCGCCCAGCAACTAAATGCGGCGCTGGCTAGCGGTAAAAGTACTGTAGCCGCTACGCAGCCAAAACAACCGCTGCAGGCAGCCAAGATAATAAAGCAATCGGACATCGTTTGTTTCGATGTCGACTCAACTGTCATCTGTGAGGAGGGCATCGATGAGCTGGCCGAATTTTGCGGCAAGGGCAGCGAAGTGGCCCGCGTAACCAAAGAAGCCATGGGCGGCAGCATGACCTTCCAGGATGCGCTCAAGATTCGCCTGAACATCATTCGCCCGACACAACAGCAGGTAGCCGAGTTCATCAAGCAGCGGCCCAGTACGCTCAGCCGGAATGTGAAGCGATTTGTGGCTCAGCTGAAGGCGGACGGCAAGCAGGTGTATCTCATATCTGGCGGTTTTGATTGCCTCATCGCCCCTGTGGCCGCAGAGCTGGGCATTCCACTGAGCAACATGTTCGCCAACAAAATGTTATTCGACTACAAGGGCGCCTACGACAGCTTCGATGTCACCCAACCCACATCTCACTCTGGAGGCAAGGCGGAGGCAATTAGCATGATTCGCAAGCAGCAGCCGGCAGACACACTAATCACAATGATTGGAGATGGTGCCACCGATTTGGAAGCTGTGCCACCGGCAAACAATTTCATCGGCTACGGCGGCAACGTGGTGCGAGCGGAGGTCTACAGACGCGCCCAGTATTATATAACAGACTTCGAGCAGCTGATGTGAAGGCGGAGGTGGAGGAGGTCAACCACAGCGAATTTAGTATTGCAAATCGGCGTGTTATAGTTTCTAGAGCAAATAAATTAAGTATATAAGCCTACATATAAATAAATAAAAATATATATACAGACATACATTTAAATACATTGATAATGTGTACATGCGAGTGCATAAGTTTATAGCCACTTGGAAAACAATAAAAACGGCAGTTAAATGTAGAGTAACAATAGTTTTGTAAATTGTTTTAATACTTTCCGAAAGTAATTCGCATACTGTAAAGCCTTGCTTGAAGAAACAGCTGCAAGACCACATTTTAATATTGCAAAAACAGATGACGACATAGCTAGCGCAGCAAATCAGTCAAGCAAAAAATAAAATAAATACATTGATGTGCCAAAAATATTCTAGAAATTACGCTATTCGCACCACTGTAAATATTTTTATTTACATACATACATACATGTGTGTGTATACAGTTTATTGCCTTCTCTAAGAGCATTTAACAGCTCTGTTAAAAGGCAGCCCAATGCTGTGATGACACTTTCTATTTGGCTCTGTAGTTGCTGTTACAGTATCATTAAAGCAGGGCATGAAATGGAAACAAAAGTTCGTCGCGCTCTCTTTTAGGGTAATAATAAAAACAAAACTAAATCAAAGGGTAATATCATTAAGCACACTTTCTAAAGGCAATAAAACTACATATTAGCCAACCGGCGCTCCCATTTATGTCATTAACAATAATTATATTACACAGAATTTATCTAAAACAAAAGTCAGACAAGGCCGTGGTCGTGTAGGTGTTATCGACAGCCGTACCGATAGATGTTTACCGGCAAAAAAAAATTGTTGTTGTTTGAGGGTCAACGTCATTTGTTTTAATTTGAGCTTGCTCTACTCTGGCGCCATATTAGGAGCGAATCGGCTGCTGAATCAAGCGGCAAAGGCGTGAATTAAGGCCACATTTGATGTCTGGACCGTTGGGCGGTCAGGTTTTTAACGCTTAGAGCAGCAATTAGCGGAAGCCACCAAACAAACCTATGAGATCACCAACAACAAGAACTGCGTAAAAGCATAATTATGTTTCCAGCTATGGCTTACATACAAGTGTATTTCTATAAGTGTGTGCGTGTAAGATTCAAGATTTCATGGGGCTACCGTTATGACGCAGGTCTTACGGCTACAAATGTCTCATGCAAATGACTCACACACAGTTTCGGCTATGTCGCTAAAAGTGTGTTTGTCGTATCTGTTAGTGTGTGTGTGTGTGAGTGCATGGAAATGCTATAAAAATTATTTCAACCTGCAAATGACGTAAAAATGGTTTTATGCTCACTGAGCCGCATCCAAAACGGCAACAGCCGCACGCACACACAAACATACAAATATTTACACAAACAAAAGAAACTGGTAGCCGAAAGTTTGATAAAATGGCAAATAGCACAAAAAAAGCAATAAACTTACCACAATAATAATAAACTGCAAATACAGTGATTTTATTTATTTTATGGTTAGACGCCGTATGAACGCTCCAATCAGATTCCAATTGCACGGCTGCTGTTGCGTTGGCGTAACTGCTGCACAGATTTGCGTTTTCTTAGTCTGAGGGTGTTTGACTGCAGTTGCGACTTCGGCGCGGGGGTGTTAGTCCGTCGAGTTTCTTATGCTGCCTTTATCGATTGTCAATTTAGGTCTTTGAGGCCAAAACTTAAATAATTTCACAACTGTTTGTTTTGAACCAGATTTAACAAAATTATTGTTGGTCTTGTACAAATAGCTATTGTCTCAAGACTGGGGCACAATAATCGCAGCAAATATCGCTCAATAGTTAATACACCAACTAAATATAATATATTTGTTGTTTTAATTTAAGATATGCCGATTTTTATTTACTTTTGTTAGCTTAAGATGACGGCGTTGCGGCTATGAAAACAATTTCTGTGTATGTATATGCCCCGCTTGAAAACACAGAAAACCGACACGCACGATTTAGCGTCCGAGCAAACGTTGTTGTATGCACGAGAGTTAAATAAGATATAAGCTTTACAGTGAAGCTTTAACGTGCCACAAGCTTTTTAACTAGCAACAAGCTAAGCCGAGAAGTTGCTTATAGCAGCTGTTTGTTGTAAAGGTTGGCCGATAATTCGTAAACAGACTGAGGCGGATGTGCGATAAGTGTATCAATGTTGGCTGGGCACACTGGTAGCAGCACTGTTATTAATATATAACTCCTTAAAGACATAATTACAAGCCACTAAATTGTTTTTAGTCAAATAATACTCTCGTACATAAAACAAACCTAATTCAATGATATTTCAATAGATTTCAATATAAAGGATTCTGTTAAATAACAGATGCTATCGAGCCAAATGAACGCCCTCTCAGAACTAGAGTTCGTTCATTTAGTTAAGTGAGTCATTCGATCGAACTTATTCCGAACGGCTCAATACAACTCTACAAACAAAGGACGCACAGGACGCACACACTAAATACGCATACAGAAACGAAATGCCACGGAATGGCGGCGATGCCGGCAACGGTGGCACAGGCTCAAATGCCACCAGCGATGGCTGTATCTATCCCGATGATGTTATATTGGAAAAGGGCGTAGCATTCAATGTACGCTATACGGGCTGCGTTGAGGTCAAGACCTCCATGAAATCGCTGGACTTTGAAACCCGAACGCTGCTCGCACGGTAGGTGAACAAAAATGAAAAAACAAGAAATTCAACTCCAATCAACAATCTCTGCAAGCTGCTAACGGCATACAACAATTTCAGTGAATGTATTAATCGAGTATGTGAAGCAGCTGGTCTTAAGTCTATGAGCAAACGGCGATTGGACAAAAGGCTGCACAACTTCATTTCGGATCGTCCCAGTATGGAGCATGCGGGCACCAACATCATAATTAATGTATCCAGTCGTGCTTTAACGTTGAGTAATGTGGAAACGGGCGAAGTGATTGCCAGCCACAATATGCCTCGGATATCGTTTGCTTCCGGTGGTGACAATGACACTCTCGATTTCCTGGCCTACATTGCCAAGCGAGAAGGCGACGAGTGGCGTGCCTGTTATGTGCTGGAGTGTGCAGGCGGACAGAGCGAGGATCTGATTGTGACCATTGGGAAGGCTTTTGTGTTGCGATTCAATGCGCTGAGCAGGCAGAATTGTGTGGGCGCAGGAGCAGCAGCTGGCACAGGCGCAGCTACCACAGATAACATTAATCTGAGCTGTAAAGAGAATGTTAAAGAGTATTACAATGACTTACCCAACAAGTTGCCGCCGGATCTGCCTTGCGACGATGAGTCACAGCTGCAGCCGCAACAGCCATTGGCACAGGCACAAATACCGCTTCATCCGCACGCTCCTCGTGTCGCCCAGTTAAATTTGAAGAAGCCGCGCGATCGCTTGAGCAGCAATCTTATCGATCTTAACTCCCCGCCACCCGATCAAACCACCAACAAACATTCACTTGGACATTTCGATCCGCTGCAGGCAGGTTCTGTTGCGGCGGGCGTGGCCACAAATTCCATACGCGACGTGTTCGATGGGCCCCAGTGTCCGCTGACTGCCGAAATCTGGTTCCATGCGGCCATCTCACGTCCCATTGCCGAACGCCTGCTGCAGCAGGATGGCGACTTCCTGGTGCGCGAGTCGCAAGGCAAGCGCGGGCAATATGTATTGACGGGATTGGAGGGGAAGACACCTAAGCACCTGTTGCTCATCGATCCTGAGGGCGTGGTGCGTACCAAAGATCGCATATTCGACAGCATCAGCCATTTGATCAATTACCATTGGGTCCATGCACTGCCCATCATCTCGGAGGATTCGGAGCTGGTCTTGCGTAATCCGGTGCGCAGACCCAACTTGGAGCAATCAACTGACAATGCATAAGCAACATATACAACTCTTCATATACCCCCTATACATATATTGATATCAATATATATACATATATATATATATTTGTGTACACGCTTAGATTTACATATGTGCACTCGTAGAGAATATCTTTTATATATCGTCGTATCATTGTATAAAGAACAAACCCATTTATTTATGGATCGAATGTATACATATTTATATGTGCATGTCTACACAGTATTTTTCATTAAAATGAAAATAAACCAACCAAATGCATTTACTTAATCGCAATCCAAAGACAACACAGTTATTGATTTAATGTTTGCATTTCACACACTTGATGTTTGTTTATTGTGCTCCAATGCAAGGTTTTCTCTTTTTATAAAACAGGCATCTTTAAGGGACCACCATCTTCCGATCTAAACCTAATTGCGACGTCCAAAGTTGTTGGTGTTGGGCTGGGTCAGCTGCAGGCCACGAATGTTGTGGAAGTCCAACAGCTTCAACATCTCCTTAGTATCGGCATCGACCTCAATGATGTCCTGCTCCAGAGCCGAGACAGCGGGCACGTAGTTATCACGACGCTCGCGCTCCTCCTCCTGCAGCTTAATGGAAATACCACGCACCTGGGAGTGACGCAGACGGCCCATCAAGTGGGTAACATAGCTGCAGGAATGTAGACAAGAGCAACAATTAGTATTGCAATCCCATTCACAGCAGCTTCCAGTTGCACTACTTACCCGGCAATCTTGTTGCGGAGGGGCTTGGTGGGAATGATAGCAACCTCCTCGCAGATACGCTTGTTGGTGTGGAAATCCAACGTCAAGCGTGTGTAGTACTTCTCGATGATGACCTTAGCGGCCTTCTTCACTGTCTTGGTTCTGACGCGACCCTAAATTTTAAAGTGAAGAGGGTTGGAATACACAGATTAGTTTGCGGCTGTATACACACATAAACAATCAAGATTTTGAGTCAGTTCTTTGACTGGGCTGAATGAAATTTCACTACGCTTGAGAGCGGCACATATCTGACCACAATAAGCTTCACATATTTTTGCTTTTAGTGCAATGATTGCATTTTTAAATAAAGTTTTTTATTCGAGTTTTGACATTCGGACACCCACCATTGCGAACGTTGTTACCGGAAAAGAACAGAAAAGAGCAGCTGTCAAAATTACATCTTTTGTGTGAATGCACACACAGGGTTGTATGCGCTAGCGACTATCGAAAACAGTCGTGTCGGTGCGAATGGCTAAAAGAAGAAGCGCCGCGGTTACCAAAGTAACGGAAACAGTGCGAATTTATTTGGTTCGCAATTTTCAAATAATAATTAGGTCATCGAAATGGAAAAGTCAAGCAATAATGATGAGGAAGGCGCTGCTGCTGCAGCATCCAACTCAAATTCGGAGGAACAACAACAGCAAGCGGGCAATAGCAATGGGAGCGCAAACGGTTCCGATTTTCAAATCAGTTTAAATGATTTTCTCGATTTTCTCAAACTTTCCTGTCACGTAAACGATATGATAACAAAAGTTGAAGGCAAACCGTATAATCGGGAGCCCGTGCCACCCGCCGAGAATTTAGCTGGTGTCTTCCCGAAGCGAAATTCAAAAAAAGAAGAATTCGATTTCAATAGTTTGGCCGAAAATGATTTGGTTAATGAACTCCTGGGCCTCAAGCGTTCCCAACGAAATACGAGCAGCAGTAGCCTAACCAACGGTAGCACCAGCAGCAGCCGGGATGAGAGCAGTCGTACCAGCCTGCTGCTGCCCGATCCTAGGTCCTCAACGCGCTCCGGACACATTCACAGCGAGCGAGGCCTACATCCAAAACTCCGTGAACAACTGGACTATGTCATCAACGAGGGTGTGTTGGACTCGGTGCTCTCCTTCATTTGTCCAATGCCCTTGCCTGTTACCTTGGCACCCAACGGCGGGCGGGGCAAGGCGACCAAAGTACCATCGTCGCAGCCATTGCAGTTGGTGAAGGCGGATCCTATTCCAAGTTCAAATAATTTAACGACGCCCAGCTCGAGCTCGCCCAACACTCACTCGCCCAGGGAAAGCCCAGCGGCTGAGATGCACAGCGGCAACAGTGTGGTGCGTGCATCCGTAAAGGAGCCAACTGGCAAAGCATCCTCTACCACAGCCACACGACGCAAATCCCTGTTGCTGGTCAAGGACAGTAAGCATTCGCGCCAGGACAAGAAGGAGTGAGTGCATGAAAATAAATACAAGAGTAATTGCATCGTTTCATCCCAAAACCCTTTTAGATCAGAGGTCGTGATCCACGTGTGCGACGAGGTGAAGAACACCTCGCGTGACTTCACCTGTCCGCAGGGTCTGTTGGTGAGCAAAATGGGCTACTTTGCGGATGTTACGGCCGGGCAGCGTCTGGAGGAGATGGACATATCGGTTCACTGTGACATACAGATTTTTGACTGGTTGATGCGCTGGATTAAGTACAGTGCTCAGAGCCAGGAGCTGCCGGCACCAGGTCAATGCAGCACCTCGGGTCCTCAGCTGGATGGCAACAACGTGGTGCCCATTCTGGTCTCGGCCAGCTTTCTGCAAATGGAGCCACTGCTGCTGGAGTGCCTAGCTTTCTGTCACGCCCATCTCAGCGAGGTGGTGCGCACTTCAACGAATTTGTCGTGCCTCAATGATGCCCTAGTCACCCGTTTGGCTGCCATGTTCACCAACCTGGAGCTGGAGATGGTGCGCGATAAGAAGGAACGTGTCACGCCCAGGCTGTGGACGAAGCTAGTGCAAAGCCTCTGCGAGCCAGATCCGGAGGTGCTGCGTGGCCATTTCTATAGCATCTCTGGACTGTTTCGCTGCGTGCGCTGCTGTCGCTGCGTGACCAACACGATGAAGTCCCACGTGAACTGCTTGCCAAGCAACATACGACTCAACCGCTGGGGCCAGCTGGTCAGCAACCATGTGCGCGACACCAACTGGGATCTCAATGTGTACGTGATGCAGCTGTTCAAGGACCTCAAGTCGTGGCGCAAAGTCTACTGGAAACTTTGGGGTCATTGCCACTATCTGTATTGCTGCACTTGTGAGGCTTACTTCCCGGTCTATCAAATGAGCTGGTGCCGCTACCATCCCGAACCGCCGAGTTTTCTAGGTCCCGACGCAGAAGGACGCATTGCCGGTCCAGCTGGACGCTACCCCTGCTGCAAGCAGCAGGCGTTCCGCTACGAAACATTGCCAGGTCCCAATGTAAAGCATGTCATTTGGTAAAGACTTTGAACGATTTCTGTTTAATGGGATTTACGCTTCCTTTCAGGGCTGCCAGTTTCGCGAGCACAGCGTGCTGGTGGACACAGATCGGGAGCGTGCGATCCTGGCCATTGCCCAGCTGGTTGGCGAGAACTACGCGCTGAGTGAGCAGCCACCGTTGCATCTGCAGGAGCTAGCCGCTGCGGGTGAGATTAGTCCCAATTGGTTGGGCATCTCGTTGACGCCACAACGTTGTCGCCAGGGTCTGTTGCCGCAGCTCTGCATGGACAGTGGGTTATGGTTTCCTCTCGACACATAAGAATCTCTTTGATCATCCAACTCAATATCTCTCACAGTGACCAATCATCGCGTGAGCCGACGCTGTCGCTATGAGAATGAGACCAGCTCCGAGTCGGACAACAACTCGACCAGCTCTGAGGATTCGCGCCTGCCGCGTCTACGCAATCGCAATGCGCTGCTCGACGATGATTACTCCTCAAGCAGCGATGGCTGCGAGTCAGATCATCGGCCACCGCCGCGCAAAGCACGCGGCAAAAAGAAACGAAAGCGGTAAATAAAGGGAGAGAGAGAGGGAGAGTTATGCATACTCATCCCATTATTATCACTCATCCCTCATTCATAACTCATCTCTCGCTTAGGTCGGCTGCTGTCTCTGGGCGCTTCTGGTCGGGCGAGCTGTCGGCGCGCAGCAATCAGGACCATCAGCGTGACTTCGAGGAGAAGATCATGAAGCAGGTGGCCAGCTACGTGTCCAAGAAGACGGGCCCCGATCAAAATTCGGCGCACAGTACCCAGCCTCTGGGCGGCACTTATGTGCGACTGGAGACCGAGTGGAAGGAGATGCTCAAGCAGCGTCACAGCAACCACAATATGCCATCTGGCAGTGCCAGCAGTGCGGGCACCGCTGCTGGAGGCGTTGGCGGCTCTGGCTCATCGGGCAACAGCATCAACAATCAAAATGTCCACTCTGGCCTGGGCGCCACAGTGAGCAGCATGATGGGTGTTCCGGGCGCTGGCCAGCTGTCCAAGCAAAAGCACAAGTAGACTCCTAAATCGAATGGCAAATAAAATGTAGACAATATTAGAAGTAGGAATTGTAGACAAATGTGTTTAGCCGAAGAGTTTTACACTATGCAACAAGAGCGACAAAATTATTCAAGTAGACAATAGACGTGATTTGTAGAAAAGTGCATTAATCAACTATGATCTGGAAAATATTATAAATTAATGCAAAGATTACGTAAATATAGTCAAATTGAGCAAATACTTTAGTATTCATTTTTTCAATTTTGTTGCATAGTGTTCTTTTAAGCAACTAATCAATAGATTCACCTTGATGCATTTCTTAATAGTTGTTTATTATTTAACTTAACGCAATTTACAAAGATTTTTATTATAGATCGTTTTTCGTTTTTAGCTTTAAAATTAATTTGCTTATGTTTTGCTTGCGTCGGCTAGCGACATAAATAAAATCGGGATAAAGGATACAAATTGTATGATTATTAATTTTAAATGTGTTTGCAATTCATTTGTTTATATCTTATACATTTCTTTCATAACTCAAATTTGCGTATTTCCTCTTTTTATGAACTTTTTCGTGATTAGAGTTTCTTTTCTTTGTTGTTGTCCTCGCTTAACAATAAATGCGGCTGCACAAACCGAACCCTGGGTTCTATTTCTATCATAAAAAATTATATATATAATCAAATGTCGTGGGCGGGCTGTGCCCCAGGCTCAACCTGTAGCAGGAAATGCAACACAATGTTCAATGTTCTGCTCACTTAAACAAACAAATAAATAATGAATTCCACACTATGAAAAAGAAAAACTATTGGGCCACAACCGGAACTCACTTTTATTACACTTTAATTTATTGTTTTGAGATGAAAAACTCGCACGAAAAATGCGATTGGGGCAAGTGAGAACCGGAATGGACCGCCAGCTTTTGCTTTTTTTGCTTTTTACAATTACACAGTAAATAAATTTGGAAATTAACAAAACAAATATTTAAAATTTTCAATAAATAGATTGTGTGTGTATATGTGTGTGTGTGTGTGTGTGTATTTGTAGTGTTCTTGTGTCTGCTTGTGGGTATTAGATTATCTATGTATTTGTGTGCTCCAATTGTGTATGCCAATTAAATAAAGTTGATCGGCTTTTTGGTGTTTTAACAGAGTACTTAAAATTTTGCATAGTAATTGTTTGCTGTCCAACTGATTCGTAAACAAGATTGACTGATATTGAAATTGAATTTGCTACTGCTGTTGCTGTTCCTGCCTGCATCGTTTTCGTTTAACTTGTTGCTGTTGGTGTTTTGCTGCTGCTGTTAATTTTATTGTTGTTGCTGTTGCTGTTGATGATGGTGTTGTTGTCGCTGTTGTTGTTGCTGTTGCTGTTGCTGTGGTTGTTCGTTTCGCCGCAAAGCTAACTGAATAGACACTCGGTCGCCTTCTCCAAATTCCAATTCTCTTTGGATAATACAGCGCGCGCATCGTGCTCATCAATGCCCATGTCCTTGAGGCGCTGTATCTTTGAATCACAATCGGGAAACGTGGTCGGGCCACCGGCATACGCATTGGTCCAGTGTCGGGCAGTTAATACGAATAGATCGTGCTTATCCTTGAACTGATATGCGACAACGGCATCCTGGGGATCATCGGGCTCGGCGGCGGCCAGCAACGCCTGCAGCGACAATAATACCGTACGCAATGTCATCGCAGCGGCCCAATTGTCCTTCAATATGTCTAGGCAAATGGCGCCAGTGACTGACGAAATGTTCGGATGCCAAATGCGTGTTATAAATCGAACCTGAAACACAACTCCGAGTTTATACAAATATTTGTATATACATATATCATATATCACACCTCATACCATATACACACAACATGCAACGGTAGACTCACCTTTGGTGGATTGAATGGGTATGTTTCTGGTACTTTGATTTCCAGCACGAACTTGCCGCCCTCGTAGGGCGTGTCTGGCGGGCCGGCGATCTCGCCGCGCAGTTCTGTCCAGCTATCATTGACTAGCTCTATTTTGATTGAGCACTGTACGATCTACAGATATGGTTTAGATATACGATATTAGCTTAAATCGATTAATAATATGAATGGAATTATGCAATTTGATTGGTTTACCAGGCTCGCGCCAAAACAGAAAAATTTCGGATTGGAGCCAAAGTCCTTGACTTCTGCTCACATATGTGTGCATGTGTATACATATACATGTACATGTATATACATCTGTATATATTCGGCTCGGGCCACACTCACCTCTTCGCTGCGCATAACTTCTTTAAATTCGCGCTTGATACGTGATACGGCCATGTTCGCCATGATTGTTAATTTGTTCTTGGGAGTTTTTGTTGTTGTTTCTGGTGTTATTTAGCTGTTGGTAGATTTTACTGCCGATTACAGCAGAGTTCTCGATTGTTGTTGGATTGTTGATTGTTGTTTAGTTTGTGCTGTTATTGCTGTTGTTGTCGTTGTTGTTGCGTAAATAACACGCAGTTCGCTGACGCTGGGTAAAAATCTATGATATATATATAGACATATATGTTGCAGCTAAGTGGCGGCAGCATACAAAAACAATATGAAACGCTTCAATATTTCAATTATATTAAACTGACACTTTTTTCAACAAACTGTGCACGTAAGCCAGGGCTTCTAGACTATCGATAAACATTGGCAGTCAGCTGCTGGCAAGTGTGACCCATACGCCATATCGGAAATGATAAACCAAATGTTAAGTTTGCGATTTATAGCTATCGAGTCTGTTAATGGGAGGAGTTTCACTGTGATGTGTTTGAATGTTAATAATTAACCGTTTACCTACAGTGCTGCAAAATGTTTCTATATATTTGAAATTTAGGCGCCAAGTTTTCATTGACTTTGAGATCGTCTCATGTTTTTTTTTTTATGCTAATGCTATGAATATGTGTGTCTTTAACTTAGACTTCATCTATGTCTAGGTATCTGGTAGATACGTATCACATTGATGACACAGTATTTTTCCACAGCCGTTTTCAAGGCATTGCGTTGATCCCTCAAAATGAACTTGATTTGACCTCAGGTAGAGACTTCTATTACGCCTTGGCAACCGATTCACTTCGATGGCAATTCAAAACTCGTTTTTGTCTCTCATAAATAAGAAATGCGCGTCTAGCTTACAATAGGGTTCTCGCCAGCATAGCAACAGCAGCCAAAATAATATACAGCAATTATGCGACTCAACACTATTTATTTGTATTTTTATTTTTTTGCTTTTGTTTTTATGTTTCCTTTCTTCAGGTTTCAAAAGCAGAAAAAACGTGTGGGATGAGAAGCTGCTGAGCAAGACGTGTTTAGCTGTTAAAAATAGCCCAGTCAACATTTTTTAAGGTCATTCGATACGTCTAGAGTCTAGACTATGTCTGCTCTAATTTATTTACATTTCTAACTAACTTTTTATCAATTGGTCAACGCGAACATTCTAGCTCGACGACATCTGAGACCGTTTCTGTTTTAGTTTTGTGCTGCGCTTGCTCGCTGGGCACGTGTTTCGTTTGTTTTCTTTTGCACAGGCGTTCGTCGGCCCAAGCTCCATTAAAAAAATATAAAACACAAATTAAAAAAAAAAAAAAACATACCGAGTTGCCGGCGCGCTTACTCTTTGACTTCTTTGATTACTCTCTCATTCTCTCTATCTCGCTCTCCACGATAATCACTCTCCGTCTTCCATTCTCTGCTGGCTTCTTCACGCTCTCTTTTGCTTGGCAGACAAACTTCATGACTTCGCCACCAATGAAATCATTCAGCTTTTGCATTTTCATTGAAGCGGCTGCATTCTTAAGTGCCAAACAAAAGAATAAACGCGGACTAAGTGAAACGTGAGTAAAAAACAAAAACCAACAAAAAGCAAGAATAACCGTTTCAACGCCTAATTTGTTTGTGTACCTAGTTATTTACGAACCGAATTGTTTCTGCACATGTTTCATGTAAGTTGAATTCTATTGCCGAAACGTGTTTACGTATGTGTGTGTGTTGATGTGTGTGTGTATATGTGTTTTTATTGTGCTTTATCTGTTTCTAATGGCAAAGAAAACGTGCGTTGTCAGCAGCTAAGAAGCTGGCACGTGGTTGCTTACACCTCAAACTTCTCATTTTTTTATATGAATGCAGCGACGCCATTTGCATTTGCGTCAACAATATATAATATATACGCACACACAGATGCACACATACATGCTCACAGACTACGTCAGTGCTTTCCTTTTGTAAAAACATTTTAGCCTGGCATTTTAGCATTGGCTTTAGTTCATTTAAATTTAGACACGAAAACAATTTGACAAATCTCTGCGTATTCCATTGTTCTGCTCAAGTACAGTCGTACTATACAACAAAGCAGCAAAGACGAGCCCCCAAAAATAAATAGCTTTAGTTGGGACCATTAGCATCGACCAGCTTAAATAAAAAGCAATGCAAAATTTAAATGCATTTTTTGTAGCCCTCGCAATTGCAGCTTAACAGCTGGGCAATAATCAGAAGGAAGAGAAAAAGAGATTGAGATAGAGAGTGAGAGAGCGAAACAATAGTCAATGTTGCGGCGAAAGCTTCTGGCACTAGCATTGCTCTGCGTCTATTAGCTTACATGTGTTTATGTGTGCGTGGGCAGATGTATGCATGTGTGCTTATGTGTAAGTCYGTATATGTGTGTGTGTGAAACGCATACGCCATGTACGCGCTCAGTAGTTCCAATCGCTCACTCGCTGCTGGCGGCGTTGCGCTTGATTCTGTTATTCTCAACGCCTAATCTACTGTCATAGTTCTACTAAATATACTTATAAATCATACAAATATATATTATTGTAAAAAGCTATTTCTTTACGTGCGCGCTCTTTGCTTTATAGATTCACCGTTCGTTTCTCAGTCGTGTATTACCGTTAGCACCTGACAAATAGCGGCAAATTGCGCGCGTAGTGTTGCACGTCATTACAGAGTTTTCGAGCATTTTGTCGTGATGCCAGATACAAAAAGTTTAAAATCTGAACAAAATGGTGCGTATTGCGTTCAAGGCTAAAAGTATATTTCACGGCCATTGTCAAACGAAAACCCCCTAACCATCCATACAAACAGCTGTTCGGTTTGTGTCGTGATAAAAGCTTTTCGGCACGCGCCTGTTTGCATACCAGACTATTTCCCATAGATTCGCGCTCTTAAATGAGAGCAGAGAACGTAGCGCAAGGCTTTATCAGGTTAAGTGCGAGCTTTTGATTACTGTTTTGGGACTGCCGGACGCCAGGAGAACAAACAATGTTGCCAGACTGTATTCGAGTAAAATATCATAAATATCATATAAATACGAGTTGATGTTTCTTGCTTTAGTTAGCCACAAATATTGTTTTCTTTCTAACCACTTTGATTGCCAACTCAAGTAGTCTACTTTCAAATTCGTCGCGATCTGGCCACAATACACAACATTCGCTCACTCACACAGGTTGCGATAGCAATATGTCAAAATAGTCACATGGCTGATGCTTGGGGTGGCTCTGGTGAGACTCGTACTCTTTCACTCTCACTCTCTCTCGCACTCTCTCTCTCCCGACAACACATATGCCCATACTGTTGCATGAGATATGTATATATACAGACAAGCTTTTCGCTGCTTACGCCAGATGTATGAATGAATATTTGGCGCGTGAGTGTGAGAGAGCAGCAGCGCAGCAATGCTTTCTGCCGCTGCCATCATCTGCTTACATGTATTCTCATGGCGCTCTATTACAAGCGTTCGTTCACTCTCTACGCTCTCTTCGCTCAATTCCGCCATGTATACGCACACACATACACGGCGACGTCGCTGTCGCTGCTTGTGCAAAAAAATTTTTATAATAAAAACTTGTACTCGTAGATTGTGTGATGCCAGTACGTTCTGCTAATCCGATACGCGCTAGAAGTTTGATCCGAGACAATTTGGAGAAACAGGCTGGTTGTCTAAATCTAATACACTCCAGAATGCCAAACATTAAAGTGTTTTCGGGCACCTCGCATCCGGATTTGGCGCAGCGTATTGTCGATCGCCTTGGCATCGACCTGGGCAAAGTGGTCACCAAGAAGTTTAGCAATTTGGAAACATGGTAAGTATATGCACACTAACGTATTTACACATACATACACAACAAAATCGAATCGCGTGCGCCAGCCGTTTAACCAAATGAAACAACAGCAACAATAACAACAACAATAATAATAATAACAAATTATGTGAAATGTGACCCCGTTAAATGTGTGTGATGATAAGTGCTCAAACGTAAATTGAAAGAAAAAAAAAAAAAAAAAAAACTATGTGTGTCCATGTGGACAGTTCCAGCTCCTTGACATTTGCCAAAGGTTGCCAAGCGCTTGGCCATGCGTTTTCCTCTGACTGACAGCAGAACGACAGCAGGTGCCCTACGTCTGGCTGCAGTTCAGTAAATTATAGTATTTTATTTCGTACATTTCTTTTAATGGGTTTCTTAATACAGTTCGTTTTGCTTTTTTGTGCTTTTTATTTTTATTGATTTAACAAGTGGACTGTACACCGTAGTCATTGGTTGCTTGCCGTGTGCTTGCCTTTCTATATGCATGTATGTGTGCGTGATTGTGTGTATGAGGCTCACGCATATACACACTTACACACACAAATACACACATGTATACTTAAATACTCAGACAATCGCGCAAAACACCAAGAGGAACACGCTCTGGCTACATTGAAGCCAATGTCGCGTGCAATTTGTTTGTCGCCCGTAAAATTTAAATACTATAAAAATATGGAATCTACATAAATATAACAAATTATTACATTTATATTTAATTAGCACATGTGATTTTACTTTGACACTGCTGTGGCGCAGCTTCAGCCTCAACTCTGCTATATACGCACACACAAACGCACACACGCATACTCATACATTCACAAGCGAGCAAGTCAGCTGCTACTCCAACAACAACAACAACAACAACAAATAATAATAAAGTGTCTCTGGTGGCTGGCGCCTTATCAACACGCACACACTGAAACGCGACACATACAAAGCGGCCTAAAAGAATTTTAATAGAATTAAATAAACGTTGAAAATGATATAAAGGAAATTAGCAAACAATTAGAGTGTAAAGGAAGAAAAAACAAAAATATAAAAAAAGAGAAACAAGAGGGCAGGCAAAAGAAATGAGTGAGAAAAGCAAGAAAAATTAGAGGTTATAATATAAATAATGCGCGCTAAGCTTTTTGACATGATACGCGCTAGCCAAATGAGCGTGAGTATTCCATACATTCAGATGTGTGAGTATGTGTGAGTTTGATGTGTAAGCAGTATATATGCAGACACACGTTTATGCATGTATTATGTTATGCTCCCGCATACAGACGCAACGCCACGCAACTCACACAAAGGTAAACTCCAAAACAGAAGCAACGGAAGACAAGTAGGCAGGCAGTAGGCTGGCAAGCAGAGCGCATGCAGGCACCAGACAGCGATAGCAAACCAAACCATAACACGACATTGTCACGTTTTTTCGCCGCCAACTGAGCGAGCCTGAGAGAGCGCACAGAAGAGAGTCACTCATAAGTCAGCCGATGACGATGGCGGCGTCGACGACGACGGCGACGTCAACGACGCCCCCACATGTTCATGCTGCTTTGCGCTCACGCGTTTGCTTTGCATTCTCTCTCTCTCTTTGTCTGTCGCTCTCCCTCTCTCTCTGTCTCTCTCATTGATGAGATGGCCCCCACGTGTGTGCTGCAAACGCAGACACAACAACACGGTGGTTGTGCTAATTTATGTTATTTTTGTTATTGTTGTTACTTGTGCTGCGCACTTGTCGGCTTGTTGTAGCTCTTTCTGGTTTGTTCTCGCGGAGCACTGAGCGCTGTCAGCAACAGTGTAACGTAACTAATATGTTCACAGTTAGATATCTCGCATTGCTCTTCTTCTTTATTGCTTGCTGTTGTTGGTGTTTCTGCTGTTGTTACTGTTATTATTTCTCTTGCACGATGACTTGATTGAAGCGTGTCTTATGTGCTGATTGGCGCTAAAAATTTGTTATTGTTACCCCTATTAGATCTATGTATGTCGCAGACCTGGGTTACAATCAATGATAGCGTTTGTAGGGCGCTGCGATGACGTCATGGAAATTCATATTCTTGATAATTGTTGAAACACTTACGAAATGTCCATTAATTTAATGGAAAATATTTAGAGCAATCATTTTCTGATAGTTTCGTGCGAGTAAATATTATTATTATTCATACYTAATTTAAGGCTTAGCCACAAATGACCTTGCCAAAGGCAACCCAAAACCCGCCGCCAATGCAATTTTTCAATAGCGAACGTAAATGGCCATCAATTCAAAAGGTCAAAACACGCAACTAGACCAAGACTAAAACCAAAAACAAAAACGATTACAAGTACAAATTGAAAAGTTTGATCGATAAGAAATTTGCGTGTTGTCCGTAATGTGAGACGAATGGGAGCAAGGGCTACGTCTGGCTAGCTGATAAGTGGTTAGATGCCAAGGTATGGGCTTAAAGCGAGCATCTATATACATACATATGTATATGCTTATGAGCCAACAGGAATTAAGTGAGCCTAGTCGATCGACGATACTTGTAGATTATACTATCACATATACACACACATGCAGAGGCTTGTCAGTTGTCGGACAAAAATAAAAGTCAAACAGCTAGTTAAAAATATACATGCATAAAAAAAAGCAAAACAAAGGAAACAGCTGCTGCTGGTGCCGGTGCTGGTGCTAGACAACGGTCTACCCTCTGACAGCTGCAGAGCAAGACGGTTAATACTTGGCCCACTGCCAGCATAGAGATCCCAAGAGTTGCTCGCAAGAACCAAAGCCAAAGCAGCAGCAGCGTTTGGCATTCGAGCAATGCCAGAGGCGAAAGTGTTTTTCTTCTGAGGGGAAAAAAAAAAAAACAAAATGCCAAAAAATGCATTCATTTCATGCAACGTCAACTGAAACWGCCACAGCATTAGCATTAGCATTGGCTGCTAATAAAATGCATTTTGGCAAAACCTAAGCGAACAATGCGGCGTATGCGTAATATGCCGTAAAACGCAGCCACAACAAAAGACAGCTGAGAGCGTGCGACTGTAGTCATAATTCCTGATTGCTAATGTCCAACGAGCACATACACACACATTATGTCATTATGTGTATATGTATTTGTGTATACGAATTGGCAGGGCATTGCAAAGGCAACAAAAAATATGTCCGAAAAATTGTCAATCGATGGACTGGGCGAAGGCGTTCGATATTCTGGGCGCAGTTCCACACGTAATTCAATTAACCTTCAGTACAAATAACAATGGCAATGACCAAAATGTGTGTGAGTAGAGAGCAGAAGGAGAAATAGAAAATCAAAACGAAAAAAACACAATAAACGAGAAAGGTAGAGGAAAGTAGGGGAAAGCTGTAAAAAGTGAACTATATATAAGCTAATCAAGGATATGGTGGCATATGAAAGAATACGAATTTATGGTAAATGGATATTATATACATATGTATATGTATAAAAAATATAAATAAAGAAATCTTAGCTGTCTTTAAGTACAACATATATTTGTAGTTAAGCCATTTGATATATAATGTTTATTTATATATGATTTATTTATAATGAAAATACTTTGTTTATAATAGATTGCTATTTTTTTAGATGTAACAAGAACTTAGAAACTCTATCAGACTTTAAACAGACCAAACCATTCTACCCTAAGCAACGATTTTCAGTGGGTATAATAATTACATAGAAATCAATATTTTTTTCAATTTATCAAGAGTGAATCGAGCTTCGCCTGTCGATAAGGTCAACATTGTAGCAACAAAAACGTTCTGGGAATGTGGCTTTAAAAATGTGCAAGAAATACGTTCTTTCGATATTCCACGTCAACATGATGTGTATATCCATAGCTAATGTTATTCTTCATAGTAGGACAACTTGCCTATAATAGCTCAAATGTAATTAAAATGTAGAAAATCTACTTCTTTACAAAAGTGAAAATAGTATATTGGTTTTGTGTTAGGTTCGTCTTGCTGCACGTTCCTCTTTCTGTGTGTTTATGAATGTGATTTGTAAAATGTATTACAGCTAGAGATTATTAAGCTTCTCTTATGATTTACCAAAAATAATTCAAATGCTTCTTAACGGCTTTCAAAAGCGGTAGAAGCCATACAAATTGATGTTGATATTTTCAAAGCTGAAAAACTTATTTGTTTACTCAAGCTAAATGAGCGGGAAGGGTATACAAAGCTATTCGTGAGAGTTGAGGGAATGTTTATAGATATGAATACCTATGTATATATAGTCGATTCGTAGGTCAATTTGGCAGACAAGTGTCAGCAAATTCTATTGATGAGAAATGGTTTCTGTCGCCAGGCACGAGAGTTGTATGTGTTTATGTTTGCCAACTCAAGTGTGCTTGAGAGTAAACAAGCAAATTGTCGCCCAGCAAGTCGATACTTTATATACACTACATAAATATGATATTCGATTCATCATATAAACTTTTCTAATTGAATATTTATTTTGATCAAATTTCAGTGTGGAAATCGGCGAATCGGTGCGTGGCGAAGATGTTTACATTGTGCAGTCCGGTTCCGGGGAGATCAATGATAATTTAATGGAGCTGCTGATCATGATTAATGCTTGCAAAATCGCATCAGCATCTCGTGTTACAGCTGTGATTCCTTGCTTTCCATATGCCCGCCAAGACAAAAAAGATAAGGTAGGTTTGCCCACTAGGGATTGTAGTTAGCTCTCGCTCAATAAATACTCAAATAACTTTCCTTAATTCTTAAATTTACACACATACACACAATATATAAAATAAATAAAATGCAAAGCTAGTTCGGATTTTTATAGCAACAATAAATACTGTAAAGGCAGTAAAGCATTAAACTGTCTAATATTGATAACCCAAACTATATACATGTATATGTATTATACTATATACATATATATATATATAATGTTAATCTCTGTGTGTATTTCTCTTCTTCTTTATTTTGCATTTTGTAATTAAAGTTTGAGTTTTTATTTTATTAATTTTTCCTCCCTAAAAACAACAACAACAAAATCGTTGCAAGGAAGCGAAGCTGTTAAAATGTGGAACTTTTTTCCTTTTGTTAATATAGATCTATCTAAATAATTTAATCTATAAATATTGTACAATTTTACTTACATATATATATAAATATTTGACTTTTTTCTTCTTCAATTAATTATGTTAATGCCGCTGTTTTCAACAACTTTTGGTGTCTACTTCGCGGTATCCCTACTACCCTCTCTCTCTTTACCTCCCTCTATTCCTCCTATTATCTACATATGTGTCTCATTCGTGTATGATCTCGCGGTATATTGAAACTATATCTACACTAGTTGCCGGGCGGTGAGGAGAAAGATGAAAAAGCTAAGCTTGCCAAGAAAAACTACGATTGGAAATTTAGGGTATTTAAAACTTTCAACAACAATTCCAATTCACCATTTTCATTTCAAATAGATACCAACAAAAGATATCTAATTTTCAATTTGTTTTGTTTTACGTCGGGCAAATACAACTAAAAATTTTCTCATCCTCAACTCATTGAAGAAAACTTGCAACAATAATTTCTCACCTCGCTGGGCTCTGGGCAAATTGCAAAATCAAAATCAAAACTTTTAATAATCTGTTGGTAAAAGTTCAATTCGATAATGCTTTAAAAACTAGAAATATTTATATATATTCAACAACAAAATTCTACAAAAAGGTTTTACAATATTTTAGCTTTTGTCTTTTATGTTTAATACACGTGCTGCATGAACTAACTAAAAAAAAAAAAATAAATAAATAAAATGGATTAAAAAACATCAAGAAAAACTGCAATGAAATGCGCTTTTGAAATTACATTGTTAGCAAATTTTTATATATTTATTTTACTTTTTTTCAATTGGTAAAATCAAGAAAATTTCCACATTTTTCTGCTCAAAATTCTATTTGTACAAATTGAAAATTTTGTAACATTTTTCTGTTTGTTTCCTTTTTGAGCGGCGCCGCTTCATTGCAACAAAAATATATGATTTAATACTTATATTAACACAATATTTATATTATTTTCACTTATACTATAATCCTCGTTTTGCTGTCTGCTCGTTAATTTGTCGTTTTGTGCTGTTATAGTATAATAATATATCATACAATATTTACGTTATATCTATATATATATAAATACAATATATATGTGTATATAATTTCTTATTGCACTTCTTAGCACCTTGTATTTGTGTACGTGCCCAATATGTCTTTTTCCGTTCAAATATAATATTTGATTTTAACAACCGGGTTCAATACAATCCTATAGAACTGATAAGACATTCGTCCGCCTAGCAACCATCTATAGTCTGTCTTTAATCCATTGAAAATTAATAGGGTATTTCAATAATATTTTTCGATGGCATAGCTGACCCCAAAAAGTATATATAATATATATATATTTTATTCGTGCCCAACTTTCATATATCTCCTATCTATTTCATGCGGATTCTGATTGAAATGTTTTCCCCTCATTTGTTTACGAAAATAGTTTAAAATTAGTTATTGATAACCCATTAGCAACGTCATTCATTTAATTTGACGTCAACTAGATTGGGGGTCTTTCGTAGTGCAGCGCTCTATCTCTATATGTGTATCTGTTTGTTGTACATTTGCACTCGGTCAGATTAACAGCAATTGTGCATTTAAATATATATTTTTTCCCGTAATTTTTCCACTTATTTTCGTCAACAAGATGAGATGTTTAATCTATAGGAAAAATGCATTGATGTGAACTCAAAATGCGTTTCTTGACATCGAACGATCGTCTGATTACTGTCATGGCATACATATATTATAATATGTACATATATTGTAATGATAGCTGGGTCTTAGAGAGCATTACTAGCAGAAGTATATCTAAAGTCTTTATATTTGCTATATGCATATTGGAGCTATCTAATTTACCTAATTTGAATTAAGCTCTATAAATTTACTCTCTTTTATCTATCTAGATGAGCTTAATAGAATTCACTTGACTTTAATTTCAATTAAACTCTATAAATTTTAAAACTCTTATCTATCTAGATGAAATTTTTATAGTAATACTTGAATTTAATTTCGATTAAACTCTATAAATTTAGTCTGTCTTATCTTTATACATGACATTTCAAGAGTATACTTGACTTTGGGTTCAATTAGTATATATATATTATCTCTCTATATAGTATTTAACTTAACATTCCCATAGATTCTATTTATATCTTAAGATATATTTCTCTAGTTTCAAACTTCTGATCAGCTTAGTTAAAATTTGTCAAATGCAAATTCTCAACTTCAGCTTCAATTCAACCTTCCATAAATTTTAAATATTTATAATTTTTGAGATCCTACAAATTAAAAACAATTTCCTTAGGTTTACTCGTTTGACTTACCTCCTCCCATACGTTCTAATAACTTAAAATTTGTATACTTTGTATAGTTAACCAATTCTTGCACAATCCAAAACAACACAATGTATAAATATACCCTTCCCAGCATATTGTTTTGTTTCTAGTTATTTCTTTTTTAGTTCCCTATATATTTTTTCTTTCTTTAAATTTGTAAAAAAAAAAACTTTGACTAGAATATTTCACTCAAACAACTTTTCGTTTCTTCTTTTTCTTTTTTCTCTACTTTCATTTGTTTATTTTCTTTTATCAAACAACTTTTATGAGCCAAAAACAAACCAATAAACAAATTACCAAATACAAAAACAAATATCTGTTAAATAAATGTGCTTAGGAGTTTTCACCCAGACAATATACTGTGAGTAGTTCTGCTAGCGGGTCTAAGCTTTACATTTTACTTTTAACTAGCTACCAGCGACAAAAATATTTTTAATATTTAATCTATAAAAACAAAAAAAGAGCTTCTACAAATTTTTATATATTTTTTAAAACATTTTTTTTTTTTAATTTCTATTTTTTCCAGTGTTTGCATTGAGCAAGTTTGACTAATATTAGCATATATATTATATAGAGTTTTGCATGTTAGTTTTTTTTTCTCCGAAATTTCTTAGTACACATACTAAATTTTTGCACAATTTATTGTCTCTGGTGCGCACTGTCATTGATGATCTGCACCCAAACATCTCTCTTTTCTCTCTCTTTGCCTCTCTCTCTCTCTCTCTCTCTCTCTCGCTCATTGTTGTCCTTTGTGTTTGTCGAAAGTCTTCGTTTCAGTTATTGTTTCTGTACCCATTGGATCGTTACACTTCTTTTTTTTGTGTGTATATATATTTGCCTATATGAACTCTATATTTATATATATGTTTTTTGTACACATGGTTAACTCTCATAATAAGCATAATATATAAATAATATACTTTTAAGCTCATTTACTATCTACGCTAATGATATACCTGATTCTCTTCCATATTTTCTACGCTGGCCCATGCACAGAGTCGTGCGCCCATCTCGGCGAAGCTGGTCGCTAATATGCTATCAGTGGCCGGTGCGGACCACATCATAACCATGGATCTACACGCCTCACAGATTCAGGTGAGTCTCAAATCCAATCCAATCAAATCAAAACAAGTCAAATAATGAAATGCCATATGGTCGGTGGGGGGGATCAAAATACAATTTCGTTTTATTTTTTGTGGTTTTCTAGCCAATGGGGAAAAGCCAAAATTAATTTACATTAAAAAAAAGAAACAGCTAAAACTTGGGGGAAAAAAAAATAGTCCTAATATATAAATATATGCACTTAGACTGCCTGTGCATTTGTGTGTGTGTGTGTGTGTATTTCTAATGATTGATTCTCAATTGCTGGCTAAATATTTGATTTGTCTGGAGGCGGCTCATCGACAATCGACGTTTGCATGGAGATAATGCGCACCGAGAGTGTGGACAGGTGATCGAGGAGCTGATTGATGCGCTTCTCCTTTTCGAGTATGATCTTCTCGAGATATTGTATCTTCTGGGTCAGCGACACTATGTACATTTCCTTCTTGTCGTTGATGCGCAGCTGGTCCTCGTACTTTTCAGTAGTCACTTTCAATTGGTGCGCCAATTGCGCATATTCAGACTCCGCCTGCAGATCCATCTTCGATTGTGTGGGAGTCTGTAACATGTTGATATCATTCGCATTCTCGTCTGGTGCCGGCAACGGCAACGGCAACGGCAACGGAGCATCGTTCGTCGTTTGGGTGGAGGTCTGGGAGTGTGTATTCACGTGTTTCGAATGTACAGGAGTCTCCTGAGACTGTGTTGCAGCATCGCTCGACGACTGTTGCTGGCTCCTGGTCCTTGATGGAGATGCTCGACGTGAGCCGAGCTGTATGCCATTCCGCTCGGTGCGCATCAGATGAAAGAGCAACGAGCATATGGCATTCATGTCGCCCGAGGCGAGCAGCTCCAGTGCGGGCCGCATCAGGATCAGATTCGTTTTACGTAACACATTCAGACTGAATGTCTCCCAGTTGAGTACCTTCTTTGCCAATTGGCCGTGAGACGTGTAGTGCTTCATGTTGACCATCTTGCCAACGACACTCTTAAAGAGCAGCGCCATATTGACCACATCGGATAGATCGCGTCTGGTGCGATGATTCAAGACGATCCTCTTGCCGACCAGCCAATCGCTCAGCTCCTTATGCTCCTCGGGCGTCAATTTGTGCAAATTCGACATCTTTTCCGTTCTGTTCCGTTCCGCTTATGGCATACGCATTGACATTAGCATTAGATATATGTATATATCTGTATACATATAAATATATGTTGTTCGATATCGAAAATAAAAGAGAAACGTTCAATTTGTTTTTGCTCCTGTTTGTTTAGAAGTTTATAGCCAGATAATGCAACTAAAAGTTTTTTTTTGGAAATACAAATTAGCTGAGAGTAGAAAAACTAATGTTGTGGAGCAAATGCGTTGACACAATTATGCCCTGTTGCTAAATGAATATTTTTTGTTTTGTTTTTGTTTTTGTAGGGTTTCTTCGATATACCAGTTGATAATCTCTATGCCGAGCCGGCGGTACTCAAATGGATCAAAGAGAACATTCCCGAATGGAAGAATTCGATCATTGTATCGCCCGATGCCGGCGGCGCTAAGCGGTAAGTGTTACTTTCGTTCTCACTCTTCTATGTATATACATTCATGTGTATAAACTATTTACAGTGTTACCTCGATAGCGGATCGCTTGAATGTGGAATTCGCGCTGATACACAAGGAGCGCAAGAAGGCCAATGAGGTCGCCTCGATGGTGCTTGTGGGTGATGTTAAGGATAAGATTGCCATATTGGTGGACGATATGGCCGATACATGTGGCACCATAGTCCATGCGGCGGATCGTCTGGTAGAGGCGGGTGCCACTAAGGTAGGTTAACGATGCTTTCGCTAGAGCTTCTTGATCATTAATAATTGTTCCATGTGCCCAGGTTTATGCCATATTGACGCATGGCATTTTTTCGGGTCCGGCGATTTCGCGCATTAACAATGCCTGCTTTGAGGCGGTTGTGGTGACCAATACTATACCACAGGACGGGCATATGCGTGATTGTCCCAAAATACAGGTGAGCTGGTATAACTTTCCATCTCTTACTTTCACTACAACTCTCTCCTCTCTCTCTCTCTCTTTTGCAGTGCATTGATGTGTCTATGATGTTCGCCGAGGCTGTTAGACGAACACACAATGGCGAGAGTGTCTCGTATCTCTTCTCAAATGTTCCATATTAAACGTTAAATACCACAASAACAACAACTTCAACAACTACAATCATAACAAGAAGAAGAACAGCAACAACAACAACAACAAGAAAACCAATTGCAAATAATCAATAGAAATTTAATTGAAAGCATCTCTTTGCCATTCATTCATCGTTATAAATATTATATTTTTATTAACTATTAACTATGATATAAACAGCAACAAGAAAGCGTCATTATGTAATTATATAAAGTAGCATAAAGTATATAACAACAATTGCACACTTAATTGCCTTCAAATCAAACAAACATTTTTCTATTAGTTAAACAATTTTGTTTTTCTTTTTAAACAATTCGCATTTTGTAAAAGATTATCAGCTCTTAGAGAGAAAATTAGTTGTATAGATTATATAGTTAAAAAAAAACACATACACTTACACACACACACACACGAATTGTAATTTTACACTGTGCAACAAGAAAATTTTTGATGTTTCCTTAAAATAAGTTTTGATGAGAAAAAATGCTTTGCAAGTTCAAAACGAAAAGAAAAATTAAAAAAAAACTAAAAACTTTTAGTAAATTTAAGTAAATAAGTAAAAATACAATTGAAAAGAAAATTTAGCAACTAGACGTTTAAAACAAACAAAAGAAAAAAAAAAACGACAACAAAAATTACAACAAAAAATAAAAAAAAAAAGTTAAAAAGAAACTGAAAAGAAAAAGTTCATTGATTTTATAATTATATTACATTAAAAGAGCTCGGACTCAGTCTTGAAATCATTAGGCGGTGAGCAAGAGGGGGAAACAAGGAGAGGGACAGGGAATAAATCAGTATCATTATATTGCCTCTACTTATATTATTGACCATAAAAGATTTTGAAAATTGTTTTGTTATTTATGAAGCCAACAATCGGCTTTTTCAATATACTATCATATTTTTTTTTTTTTTTTTTTTTTTTTAGTCTCTTGGGGTGATAAGAACTTTTGCTCTTTATTATTTCAGTTACTCAATATAATTTGATGAATTCTAACAATTTTTTTTTAGTTGCTTCATTTAGTACAGTTCCTTTATTGATCCATAGATCTACATGTAATATATAGTATAGTATATACATTTAAGACTTATATGACTTATATGGAAATATATAAATACAACACTCGAATTTTGGGAGGCGCTGATTAGAAATTGTCGGGAACGACAGAGCCCGCGAAACCAGTTCAAGATAATATACTATATAATAATACTTATCTAGGCCTTTTTTTTTACAATTTAAAACGGAATCTTTATGGATATATTGTTATGGAACTCATAAATAGATCTATGTGACAGCTGAGATTAGGTTGAGTTAGAATGTATATTACTGATAAAGAAAGGATGCTTAGAACTCGGCGTACTCTTCGTCGTCCTCCTCATCGTTGTTCAGACCCACTTCGTTGAAGTCCCGTTCGAGCACCGCTATATCCTCCCGAGCCTCGTTGAATTCGCCCTCCTCCATGCCCTCGCCCACATACCAATGGACGAAGGCGCGCTTCTTGAACATCAGATCGTATTTGTAGGCCAGATTGGAAAAGGCAACGCTAATGGCCGTCGTGTTGGAGAGCATGCAACAGGCGCGAGAGGTGGGAGCCAGATCGCCATCCTGGACAAAGGCCGGCTTTTCGTAGTTGATGCCGATCTTGAAGCCCGTGGGACACCAGTCAACGAATTGGATATGCCGCTTCGATTTGATTGCCGAGATCGCAGCATTCACATCCTTGGGCACCACGTCGCCGCGGAAAAGCATGCAGCAGGCCATGAACTTGCCAGCTCGAGGATCACACTTGACCATCATGTTAGAGGACTCGAAGCAGGCATTCGTTAGCGTGGTGATCGCATGCTGCTCGTGGGCAGCCCGATCCGCGGACATCAGCGGGGCATAGGCCACCAGGGGGAAGTGTATGCGAGGAAAGGGCACGAGATTCGTCTGGAACTCATTCAGGTCTACATTCATGGAGCCACTGAAACGCAGCGAGGCAGTCGTCGAGCTAACTATTTGGGCAATCAGGCGATTCAGATTGTTGTACGCCGGCCTGTCCACGCCCAGTTTGCTTTTGCAGATGTCGTAGATGGCCTCGTTGTCCACCATAAAGACGCAGTCCGCATGCTCCATGGTCGAGTGTGTCGTTAGCAACGCATTGTACGGCTCCACCACTGCTGTGGACACCTTCGGTGAGGGATAGACGCCAAAGTTGAGCTTGCACTTCTTGCTGAAATCATTGGACAGCGACTCCATTAGCAACGAGGTAAAGCCGGAACCAGTACCGCCGCCCATCGAGTTGAAGATGAGGAAGCCTTGAAGACCATCGCATTGTTCCACAATCTTCTGCAGTCGCGTTGTCACCCGATCGAGCACATCCTTGCCAATCGAATAGCGTCCACGGGCAAAGTTATTGGCTGCATCCTCCTTACCGGAGATTAGCTGTTCCGGGTGATACAGATACCGCGTGGCGCCCGTGCGTACGCTATCGATCACCGATGGCTCCAGATCCACAAAGATACAGCGGGGCACCTGCTTCCCATTGCCCGCTTCCATGAAGAAGGTATGTGCATCATTGTCGGAGGTGCCTTGGCCAACACTCGCGCCACGGCCACTCTCCACCTGCTGCGCATCCGTTTTGCGACTACCATCCAGATTGATGCCATGCTCCAGCAAATAGAGCTCCCAGCAGGCGTTGCCGATCTGCGTGCCGCATTGCCCAATTTGTATGGAAATGACTTCGCGCTTTAACAGAATTTTCAAATCAATTTGTGTTCTGGGTGTGGAAGGACCAATTATTTATTTAGCTCGCTCACCATAGTTTCGTATGCCAAATTACAGCTAATTAATATACGCAAAAATACAATTTAAAAGCAAAACTTTCGTGAACAGCTCGCAAGAAATTCAAATTGAATTTCTTTCGATGGCCACGTTGCAGAACAAAATGGCGTCAGCGATGGCGCTGGATGGATGCCGTTAGAACGAATGGCGCAAAAGCGAACCCTCGAAGAATGCAGAATTTTCTGCAGAGTTGCATTTGCGATCGCACTGGAATGGTTCAAAATTTGACTAGGTCAGAGTTGCAATATGCAGGACATTTAATTGATTCAGGGATGGAACGCTTTGAACTCATAAAAAAAGCTCTCAATTCTCTGCAGATTTCACATTGAGATCAACAATTGGTTTGAAACTTGACTAAGTCAATTTGCAATGTGCAGGACATTGAAGAGTTGCATTTCCGATCAGCACTTGGTTTGAAACTTGACTAAGCCAACGCTGCCATATGCAGGACATTTAAAGACTTAAGGCATGAGACTTTATATCGGCCGAGCTGCCAATAAATTTCTAATTTCTTTCATTCCTGATCAACCGTTGGTTCGAAACTTCACTAGGCTAGCTTAGCAACGAGGTCAATCAATGAGCATTGTTTAAGGGGTGTTGTGGTTCTATTATTTGTCAAACTTAAAATAATTTGCAATGCAGTGTAAAATAAATTCCTTGTTCCGTTGAAATGGCAACTTAAGCGTAGATTGAATAAATAGAAATTGGTTGGTGCATGCTGCAACTGCAGCCTAATCCTTGCGCGCGCCGGGCGGCAGCGTCACATCAAACACAATGGGAGCATTGTTGGGCAAATAGTTGATGTCGCACGTGGAGGCATTCACATAGATGATCCTGCCATCGCTCGTTATGCCATATCCTTCGTGCACATGGCCAAATACATGGTATTTGGGCTTCACACGCTGCTGCACTGTGCTCAGCAGTTCCACACAGCCCGCTCGTACGCCGGAGCAGCAGAGATCGCCATGGCCGACGGGCGGCGTGTGAGTGACTAGTATATCAACCCCAGCGGGTATTTGATTCCACTTCTCTAGACAGGCAGCGCCTCGCGGCACATTGAAAGCCCAGCGACAAAACTCTGGCTGCCAGGGCGAACCATAAATGCGGACGCCCCAAAGCTCAAGCAGCTCATCTTCCAGATAGATGCAGTTGGTTAAGGCCTCTCGTATATTCGGCGTCGTTACGGCGCTCTCCATGCTCTGTTTGTCATTGCCCAACGTGGGCAAATCATCTAAAATACTCATGCCTGTGTGCTTGGAGCTGAAAAATGAAGAAAATATTTTAGAACATATGTATGTGGAATCCTAGACTAACTTATTCTTACCGGTCTGCATGCGCCTTGTTCTGGAGGGGATGTGTAAAGGTGCGGTCGAAGCTGAGCTCATGATTGCCCGCAATCACGATTTTGTGCCTGTGCGGTAACGCTCCGATCCAATTGTTGAACTCGACAACCTCTTGCAGCTGTCCACACTTGGTGAAGTCGCCGGCATGTATGAATATATCACCATCGGGTATATCGAATTTAATGTAGGGCGTCAGTGAATGGGTATCCGACATGCAGACCACGCGAGCCTTATTGGGAGCCACCGTTGTGGTCGGTGGCTTCATAACAACCTTGATGACCCGCTGGCTTTTGCTGATCTCATTCCAGGCGGCAGTTGGGTCGCTGGTGAGCGGATGTACGACAACAGGCGACGCAGCCATTGTTGGTGCAGCGTACACGGCGATTAATACAACATTGATAGTCAATAATGCTGATAAGTACACGGAATTTTGTGGTTTTTAAATTAAATAAACACCGATTCGCCGATAAATATAGATAACGCAGCGAAGGGTGCAAAACAAAAAGTGAGAATCAGCTGTTTGCCAGGGCTGCCAGGGCACTCACACACAATAAAAATAAAACAAAATTTCCTAGTGGTAGCTGAAAAAGTTATTTAAAAAATGAAATAATTATTAATCACACTATATTTATAAATGTTACTCACACAAGATACCATCAACATATAGTTTATTTTCACTAGCCACACTTTGTGTCGTCACTGCACATCTGAAGCGCCGTCGCTGTTCGCGTCGTTAGGTGGCAACGCTGCATGCTAAACAAAAAACAGCTGTGCCTGCTGACTACTGTATCTGCTGCTTCTTCTTACCACTCACGTCGTGTACATTTTTCGTTTAGACAAATTCTCGAAATTTATTTGCAAGACGCGAATAATTGCATTTAACT